AAAAAAAAAAAAAAAAAAAAAGAATAATTTCCCTTATTTAACCTGTCTTTCCCTTAATAGCAGCACACTCATCTTTCAACTTGCGTTTCCCCACATTACATATATAATTTGGGAGAAGGAACAAAAAAGCTAGGGGAATTGCAACGACCTAATTGAGGTATAAAAGATACTCTCTACATTTAATAGTTATAAACACTTAGAAACATTATGATAGGAGGCAGAGATACCAACAGCACTGGGAATGACGATGGAGATCAAATCTCAAAAAGCAGTTTTCTATAGCTTAGTCACACTTGGCTCAATTTTTCACTTTTTGTACTTAAAGGCATGGCAATTTTTGGTGCTTTATTTAGTAATTACGTCATTTTGCCTGATAATACAATTTCAGTACACCACTTTCCTTAAATCATTTCCCTTTGGTTAAACAGAAAAAGCAGAAATGGTCTTCGGGCAGGTGTGCTCAAATCAAATGATCTCCTTTCACCATCATGGCTATGTTCTTTCAGTGGTCACCTTCCCTTCAATATTCTTTCATGCAGCAAAGTATCTCAGTCTTTATCTTGTACTAGGAACTGTCCTGGCACCGGGGAAACCATGTCAACAGGGCCCACATGATCCCTGTCCCCGCCTTCAAGGAGACAGACAACAAATAAGCGAATACAATAATTACACAGGGAACAAGGCTGTAAAGGGTACTCTACTAAAGTTAGAAGCTGCGGAACTAATTTGAAAAGGATAGTCAGGGAAGGCCACTCAGACAGATTTAGGCAGAGACCTGAAGAAAGACGGATTTGGATAAACAGTTTAAGGAGAGGAAGGAGAGTTCAAGGAAGAGGTACCAATTACATTCATGCTGTGTGTGTAAAGGAGGAGGGATAAGAAGAACATTCACTCTAGGCATAGAGACCACAAAGTGCATGTTGGAGAAGAAAAGCGCGTTGCATTGGGTTAGGTGGCCAGTGTAGCTGAAGCTTGAGGAGGAGACATAAAACGAGATTATAAACGTGGGTTAAGGACCACATCATACAGGGCCTTTGTAGGCTATGGCAAGGAGTCTAGATTTTATTTAAATGCCAAGAGAAGTAGGATTACTTCAGACAGCTGAATTACACTTTCTTTTCCGTTAAAAGATCACGCGGGTAAAACGAGATGTGTCGAGGAAAGTTTTAAACGCAGAGAACCTAAGTCAGATGCAAAAATTACGCACTTCTTCGGGCCTCAGGTTTTCCGTAAGTAAAGCAAGTGGTTTGAACTAGAAGCCATTTCCTTCCCGCTGCGACGCGGTGAGTTCTGAGAGCGCGAGCCGCGTCAGATTGACCATGGAATTCCCCTCATCGACGCCGGCGCCCAGAACACAACTGGCGCCCTGAAACTGTTGGTCAGCTCAAAAAATCAATGAATGGCCTGCTACGGGCGCGGGACCAGGCCCTGGCGCCCGCAAAGAACGCGATGGGTCGCGCTGGAGGCCGCGAGATGCGTCCGGCGAGGAAATACAGGCCGGCTCCACCACAACCAAAGCGTGCCGAGGAGGGGAATCGGGGCCTCGTAGGTTGAGTACAGAAAAAATCAGACTAGGGACCCGACACCGGGAACTAGGAGAGAAGGCCGAAACGTGGGTCTGAGGAAGGATTCTGGTTCCAGGCCTGGGGACCCAGCCACTCACCGCAGCCGTCGCCAGGCTGTGCATGTTGTGAGCGGCCGCCGCTCTCCTCCCACAGCCGGACGCGTCTGACCCGCGTCCCCGCTTCAGCACCCCTGTCGCGGAAAATAATGAGCCGCCGTAGCCGCCATCCGCCTCCGGCTCGCTCCGCCCCCTTCGCGGCCCTCTGACCTCTCACCCCTGACCCCACCCACACATCCTCTTCCCGCCTCCAGGCCCTCGGCCTAGTTAACAGTCCCAGAGTATGGCCTTTGCCCCTTAAGATTTAGGATCGGAAGGACGTCCACGACCACTAGTCCCCGCAACTCCTGGCTTTCAGCAGATTTTTCCAGAGAGCGGCATGAACTCTGACCCTCCTCCAAAGGCCAGTGAACGGCGGGAAAAGATGGACAGTCCCGGGAAGACAACTATTGCGCATGCCCGACTGGGCTGCGTAGGAGGGAAATGGTTGGGGGGGGTTCGAAATCGGGTGAAGCGGAAAGTGCGCGTGCGTACTACAGTCACGGCTAGGGCGGGGCTGCCCGGGCTAGGCCACTCTAGGAGTTGGGGGGGCGGGGCAAGGGCGTGTGAGGGGCGGAGTTTTTGGCTGGCGCGCACGCGCCTGTCTGGTCGCGTAGAGTGTGCGTGCGTGCGTGCGTGTTTGCGTGTGGTCACAGTTCCCGCCATCAGCCGCTCTCCCTGACTAGGGGTAGCTAGCGGCCTCCCTTCTTTGGGTTCGGTATCCCTACTTCCATTACCCCCGGCTCCTCCCTCTCCGCGCGGACTCCGTGCTTTCCGCGGGTCTGTCTGGGGGCTCCGGACCCTCGGCGCAGGTAAGGCGGGCCGGGGTAGCTTCTCAATTGAGCCGTTTTCCCTAGCACCCCCTCCCTCTGTGCGATCCGCCCACTCGGCGTTCACTCTTCTGGAGTTCGCCCTGCTGCTACTGAGCCCGCCCACAACCCCTCAACGCACCCCCAGCCTCACAGGTACTACCTTTGGGTGCATTGCCCCGGCTTTCCCCTCTCGTTTGACTTGGTCTCCACTGCCACTCTCTCCCTCCGAAACTCAAACCTGGCCCCTTTTTTCTGGGGCTGTTGTCCGCCACTTACCTTCTAACAGGGCCTGCTGTCTCTTCAGGTGACTTTCGTTACGGCACATCCATCAGGTCTTGGACATGATACTCATTCACTCTCTTGACCGTTTTCACCTTCCTCTTGACCAGTCCTCACTGCAAAACATGAATTGTATTTTTGTCGTGCATTTCCTTGCTCCCATTTCTGGCCGCCAGATCAGGTAGTTAGATGTAACTATTTTAAGTCATGATCCATGAAAGGAAATGATGATTGATGACAAAGTCCTGTGTCCTGGAGAGTTGTCCTAAAGTGGTTTTGGGGTAGTCCTCTCAAAATTTCAGCTCTGTATAAATTCCTTTATTGAGGTGGCAATTCCTGACAAGTGTCTAACTGGAAGAGATATCTGAGAGGTAATGTCAAGCAGGCAATTGGATATAGTGGGTTGGAGATCTTAGGAGAGTTCTGGGCTGGATACGTAAATGTGTGCGGTATGTTTATGTGTATGTCATCTGCCATATTGATAGTAATTGAAGCCATGGATGTGGATGAAATTGCCTAAAAAGAGTATAGTGCTATAAAATAAAGGCGCCTAGGATGGAGCATTGAGGGATTCCTGATGTTTAGTAACCGATAGAGGAGGATGCGTCTTGCAAACCATGAAAGAAGTCATCAGTAGTGTTGCATTCTGCTGAAAGGTAAAATGGAAGGAGGACTGAAAAACCCAGCGATATAAAAGTAATCGCTTGTTTTAAAGATGTTTGATGAAGTAAAATGAATATTTGGGTTCAGTCCTGCGTCCTCTTCTTTTACTCTTGTATTCCTCCCTAAGCTTTAAATTTGATCTATATATTGATGACTTAAAAATTGTTATTTCCAGCCTATTCCCTTTGTTTTCAGCCCCACATCTAGATAGCCAGCTGTCTGCTTGACATCTCAACTTGATTTTTTTCTTAGGAGTTTCAGATGCAACACAGACAAATCCAAAGCCTTGATCTTTCTCTCCGTATCCAAATTCTTTTTTCTCCAGTGTCCCATTTTATTAAGTGGCATATGACACAGGCTACACACTTGGGAGGCATTCTTGACTTCTACTCTCCAAGTTCTATCTATTCTACTTCCAATATATGTCTTGCATCTTTTTCTGTACATTTTCACTATCACTTTTCTTTTTTTTTTTTT